GGAAATGTTATGATGGACCAACAAACCTATTTTCATCTTCACCTATCGTCTCTCACTGATGCCCTATCCTTCATCAGCGTATACCGAGAGTGCAGGCGGGGTTACCATTCCAATCTCAACCATTAAAAAAACATTATTAAGGATAAGGATCATGACTATATTTCTGTTAATTTATAATTTATTTTGACTTATTGTTGATACAAATTGTAAAAGTAGATACCTATGCGGTATACCTACACATTTGGTCGGAACTTCAATTTACTTTATATGCCGATTTTATAGACATTTCATTGCATTGTCATTCAGTACACGTCGTAAAAACTAACGCGTAACCAGAGTACCTAGTCGTAAAGAACTTTACACTGGCGTAACTGACCTAACAACTTTATAACTATAACAGTACGAATGCGCAATAAACGATATTATACTATTTCTTCACAAATAAAGTGTTATTTAACAGGATAATATAAAATACTATTAAGCAATCAAAAAACTTGCATTGCGTCTAAATAAGATGTATCTGTTAATACAAGGTTTTGTTCCACAAAAAAATTGATATGTTATGATATATATATCATAACAAAATTATAAAAAGGCTGATACAAACATAAACTGTATCAATTTCAAAAAGAATAATCGTTCGTATCCATTCAATTAAATTGATGAAGATATCGTGTAACATACGCACAAAATATATATTTAGATTGAAAACCTACCTCCTTCTTATAAAAATTTCTTCAAAATGGATTTAAAATTGATAGAGATATCAGAAATCAAGTAGGAGGCTTCTTATTTCTGAAATCTAATAATTTATAATTATCAATATAATATTCACACTCAATATTTTGTGCACAGAAGAAACCGATGATAATAAATGAAATATGTATAAAAAAAGCCTCCAAGTACTAGTAAATGTTTTAAACTTTGTAATTTTACTCCTATCTGTAGACAGACTCATACAAAAATAGGAATAAGAAGTGAAACCCCAACTAAGAACGTAGACCAATCTTAAAAAGAAGAAGACCATACCAGCCCATTTAATGCCTTCCGATAGACGTGAATCTCCCCATAAAAGGAATATCTTTTCCATGATACTTAAAATGTCAATAAGCTTATGGCCCTTTTGATGAAATGTGGTAAATATTTTCTATCGACATGAACAGTATCTCACCCTAATATACCTAATATACTCTTATCAGACTTATTGGTAAAAGATTTATTACTAGTTTTCCTTTTTATATACTTTATTTTCATTCCTATATCTTCGTCGGCTCTTACATTATCCTAAAGATTATAAGGAGTTGGCATATTATATTCTTACTCCGTCACCATTGATATGTAAAAGGGGGAAAGGATTCAAATAGGAACTAGCAACCCTATTGCTAATAATATACCCTATCAAGTCAACCTCTTCGCGGTCCCTTCTGGAAACCATCGCGCTTAATTCCAAGTAAATTCATGACCATGCTAACTGACCTAATGAAATATCAGGTCTAAAATGGTAAAATCTACACATCACTCACTTGCACTCCTCCCACGTATACTGTTAGCTTTTATTTAATGAATGATAACTACCATTCCATTATCATTCATTATAAAAAAAAGAATAAAATATATAAAAATACTTAAAAGCAAAAGTATATTTCACGTTTTTTATTTGAATACACTCATTTACTGTGCACTATCACTATTTTTTGTATTTTATGTACGAAAAATTATTAAATCACTCTTGCGCCACCTGCCCATTTCTATCTGTTCTCCTTTAATCAAAGGTTGTCTGTAAGAGATTGCCCTAGCGATAAGACCGCCTTTTGTACCTTTATATGTATATTTCAATCTGTATTTATGTTACTGTACTTCACTTGAATTATTCACTGTCATTGTATATTTTTATTTATGGTGCAATAAAATGTTAAATAAATAATATAGTTAACATACAAATATTCGCAAGCCTCGTATTGTATATTAAAAAATACCGGTCCAACCAGTCTGGTTGCATTTCGTGTACTTGTAAAAGACCATGACCGATCGATCTTGTTATGACATGCCCACTGACCTACTGTTTTTATCTCGCTAACAAAGGGATTTCTTAGCGTTATATATTCTAATTACAACAATTAACACTTACATAATTAGGGCAAGTGCGTGTTATAACATTAGACCGTGGTAGACTCACACTATTGACGAATAAAACTTTGTAAGATGGTCCCCATTTCCACGATTTTTATCGTAAAATTAATGTATACATATCATTCATTATATTTACAAATGAATATGTTATATAAATATTATTAAAATATAGATATCATATTCCAATAATAATTAAGTGATTAAAAAAGTTAAAAACGGACGGGAATTGAACCTGCACATTCTATGCCTTCCATGTATGTCAGATCTATGCATGTGCGTATATATATAAATATGTATGTATACGAGTATATGTATAATAATTAAAGATGTGTCCCAAAAAAAAGACGAGTTCAATTGTGACAAAACCAGTTATTTTGGTTTAAAAACTATTGAACAGATTTTGATAAAAAATTCTATGTAACCAATCTGTAAGTATATGCATTTAGATAAAAAAAGAATTTTCCAAATCAGTTTGAAAATTGATGGAGCTATGAGATAATAAACATAAAAAGAAATTTAAACCTTGTTTTTGAAGTCGATTGAAAAGTAATAAAAGCGCACCACGCATATAAAAGTAATCCTACCAACAAAACTGATCTTTTTTTCTTTAAAAACTTCAATTAGTTATTAAATCCTTATTTTTAGAAAAAAATTTTTAGTTTTACTTGTAATAATTACATTTAAAGTTGATTTCTCTCAATATTTGTATAGGTAATACACGAGATAAGTAAGATGTAAAATCATACAAGTATCATTCAAAGTTCGTATTAAATCTTCCGGAATATGAGACGGCCCACAGCATTACCATCTTACGCAACAAAATTCGTCACGTTATATCCGACACGGGTCATCAGTATCATTCTGACATTGCATATCCCTCGCGCCATTACACTAATGTTTAACAATAAATATTCTAAATAAATATTCATTTTAAAGCAGCAAGCTCTACAATAGATATTGTGCTCTTTTTAAACTAAACCGATATTTGTCAAACGGTAAAATTTATTTGGAATTAATCTTTACAATAAAAAACATTTTTACTGCCTCCAAATGCTTTGATAATATTTCGTTCATACGACTTCATGTATTCAGATCATAAAATATATATAAATAAAAATACTTTTTTTTTATACAACTTAGAATGGCAAACAAGCTGACGACCCACCTGATGGAAAGTGGTAACCGTCGCCCATAGACATGAACAGTACCATAGACATAACAGAGTATACTGTTTCGCCCATGATACCCCCTATGCGTTGCCATTCCTGAGGACTCAGGTGTTATTCCTTTATACCCTGTAAATTCACGCCATATCCCACCCTTCAAACCGAAACACAGCCATGCAAACACAACTGCTTCACGGTTGAAACACAAATGGGACAGAGGCACCCAAGCAAACGACTTTTGTGCAAAGTCTTCATCTGGGAGGTACCCTGTCCCATTCGTACTTTTCGTACGAGGGAGACTTTGTACAAAAGTCGATTGCTTGGGTACCTCTGTCCCATTCGTGTTTCAACCGTGAAGCAGTTGTTTGCATGGCGGTGTTCTGGTTTGAAGGGTGGGATATAGCGTGAATTTACTGTATACAGAGGAATAACACCTGAGTCCTCAGGAATGGCAACGCATGGCTGGTATCATGGGCGAAACAGTATACTCTGTTATGTCCATGGTACTGCTCATGACTATAGGCGACAGTTACCACTTTTCATCAGGTGGGCCGTCAGCTTGTTTGCCATTCTAAGTTGTATAAAAAAAATTTAAAGTAATTTGCATTTATTTATAATAATTTTTAACACAAAGTTTTTTTTATGCAATTTAAGAGTATGTACAATTGGCTGCATTCACGCTTACCTGTTAGATGCTTATAGATAAGATCTTACGGAAATATAACAATCGACTGTGAGAATTGGTACATTATTCTGGGATGCGTAAATAATGCAATAAACAAACGGATACGAGAGCGGTGGTGTTATTTAATAGATATATTTTTCATTTGAGCATTGCGTTTTTAGTGTATGAAACAATTGATTGCAAATTTAATAAACAAAATGTTCTTGTGTAAGCGAAAGTGGAGCATCGGAGCTCTTCGTTCAGGCGTGCCCACATTCTGGGAGATGAATGTTTTTGAATTTAGTATCTTATTACATTTTCATTTAAGTTTAGATTAGATTAAAACTAATGCTGTAATAAACTACAGTCATGCGTTATAAGAAGCATGCAGAAGTAATAAAGACTAATCTCACAAACCTGCTATACCATCAAACTACAAATACTGATACAAGCAAAACTGTTTTCCAACTTCCTGTTAATACAAGTAATGTGAAAGTTTCAATCTTTAAATGTTTGACACTCAAACAACTGAACGATTTAGAATGCAATTCGATACACAGATAGAGAGGGAGACTTTGTACAAAAGTCGATTGCTTGGGTACCTCTGTCCCATTCGTGTTTCAACCGTGAAGCAGTTGTGTTTGCATGACTGTGTTTCGGTTTGAAGGGTGGGATATGGCGTGAATTTACTGGGTACAGAAAAATAACACCTGAGTCCTCAGAAATGGCAACGCATGGAGGGTATCATGGGCGAAACAGTATACTCTGTTATGTCCATGGTACTGCTCATGTCTATAGGCGACGATTCCCACTTTCCATCAGGTGGGCCGTCAGCTTGTTTGCCATTCTAAGTTGTATAAAAAAGATTCTAATATTTATAATCAGTTGTGTCAATACTGACTGACACATAAATAAAATAAATGACAGGGGACTGGGCATAAATATAATAAATAGATATTAACTAAAACTATGTGTAAAAAGAACAAGACAAAATATCCTTAATCAAATTGTTAAACACTTAATTATATGTAATTACTAACCTTGTAAATGGTGTAACATTTTCCATCGTTGGGCCAGAATAGCATCAGCCAACCCCTCGGATGCGACGCACAAGGATTCTTTCTGACGTCCGCCCAAGGCGGTGGCAGCACCGCCGCTTGCGTACCGCACAACAATGCTGCCAACCACACCCACACCGCCATGTTTTTAACGGTCGTAACTTTTAAAAAAGTGTTCCATTTTTAGAACTTTATAAAAATCTTTCACATTTTTTTATATAACATCACTTTTGTTCCAATTATAAGATTTTCCACAACGTAAAAAATTTGTTAATAAAGTAGTTTTAATGTCTCTTTGCGTAGTTTTTCTATTTCAACACCTTTACGATCACATTATTCAACAAATGACCCAGCTCTTTCCGGTTTCTTCTTAATGAATTACGTATCACTTCCAGTGACCCGTCGGGGTCGACGCGTGTATGCTCGTTTTAAATTAATAAAACTATAATGTTTATGAGTATTATATTGTCCCTTGTTTGTAAGAAAAACATCAGTAAACTATACGCATATTCATTAGCCCACTTTATTTTATTGCCTACATGCAAGTCTTTATGTTACGTTTTTACCAGAGGGAGACTTTGTAGAAAAGTCGATTGCTTGGGTACCTCTGTCCCATTTGTGTTTCAACCGTGAAGCAGTTGTGTTTGCATAGCTGTATTTCGGTTTGAAAGGTGGGATATAGCGTGAATTTACTGGGTACAGAGGAATAACATCTGAGTCCTCAGGAATGGCAACGTATGGAGGTTATCATGGGCGAAACAGTATACTCTGTTATGTCCATGGTACTGCTTATGTCTATAGCCGACGGTTATCACTTTCCATCAGGTGAGCCGTCAGCTTGTTTGCCATTTTAAGTTGTATAAAAAAAAAAGTCTAAAACCATGATATAAATTTTCAATATTAATATTTTAGTTAAATTATTTAAAATTCACTGTTTGCTCATAAACATTAATTTAGTACTTTGTAATATGTCCAGTTGTTTTAATTACTAGTTGTATCCCGCAGTTTCATTCGCGTGAATTAATACATAAAGTATTCTATGTGCTAAGCTAGGATATAACCTATCCGTGTACCATATTTCATTCAAATCCATTCAGTAGTTTCTGCATGAAAGATTAACAAACATCTATCATTACAAACTTTCCCATTTATTATTTTAATTAGATATACTGAATATTATAATTAGCCTAGTAAAGTAAATACATATCTCATTTCATACATCTTAAAGGATTGAAAACCTATAGACGCAACGGAATGCTAAAGCTAAGTAAAATATTGTATAGATACTATCACCATCTAGGTACGAGTATATTACCTATTTACAAACTTAAAAAAACTGCGGGGAACAAATTGGAAGAAACTTGTTTCTCGTATAATTCAACATCGATTTACCAATGCACAATGTAACATGAAAAATCCCGTGTTCACATTTCAACACCAATGTTTTATTGGTGTTTTCTCAATACACCCGAACATTACTACATGTCGTGCGAAACAACAATTATCTCCAACCCACAGGTAAGTGTTTCTGATGACTCAAATTGAAATTGCAAATTCTCACTGATAATTTACTTACAATTTATACTATAGTATCTAATAGAATAACTGTTATTTGGCGACTTCGATTACTAGCAACACTATTCTTATTTTAAAACAAATAAAATGCAATGACATGACAAAATATTTGAATTTAGAATCAGCAATTGCGCCAACATTAATTTTCCTTTGTAAAAAAAACGACAGTACAAAACTAATATGAAACTAACACGGGAGTAGGTAAATTGTAAAAAAAAATATATTAAATTAGCCTCAGAGTTCGAATACTTAGTCTCTCTATCATATTCCTCTATAGTATATGTATGCTTTAAACACCAAAAATAAATAAAATAACAGCTGAAGTGAACTGAAGTGAACTCTCAAAAATTTTGTGAATCAACTTCGAGTGTACTTTGTATACCATAGACTTAGATTATATAGATAGAGCCTCGAGGCTCAAACACGAGTCATTTTTTTGGCAGCTAATTGTCTAATTAGCTGACTCGTTTTTTTCATCAGTGTTCTATATTTTTTATGCAATTTAGCATGGCGAACAAGCTGAATATACTTACGCATACAATGTATCTTGACGTATTATTTAATAAATTAAATGAATATTTGCAGATTAAAAAGGTGCATAAATTATAAGATAAAATAAATGTAGAAGTTATAAAGGAATCACTCATAACTATTTATCACGCAAAATTGTATAATAAAGTTGACGCGCTTTTCTCGAAGCATTTGTATGAAAGCACTCTATCTATATAATCTAAGACTTATAGGATTGGTTTATTACTGGCGTAAAATCCTATGATTATGGCAATCTATAATATTGTCTATTTAAAGATATTCTTTTAATAAAATCCATTTAACTTTGTACGTAAAAATAAATAACAAACATTAAAATATCTTCAACATCTCAAATTATGAAAATATAAATAACAGCCAATGATTATCCATTTAAGTGTAGCTGTGTCATACAGTACAAACTGATCATGTCCCATCAATGTGGACAGTGGCAACACTGGACAGTCAAGTACTGGCCACCAATAATGCTCAATTTGCAATAAATGTATTTTTAAACTACATGTCTTTTTCTTAATCTATGAATTCTAATTTATTTTTATTTCTCACTACAATCGACTTCAAAAGTTCTAAATTTGATTGTAACTTTTATTTTTAATACCTAAAAATAGTACCTGCATTCCTGTATTTTTATATTACCTGAAATGATAAACAAGTAAAATGGTATCACTCGCCTATAGAAATGTAAATAGTACCAAAGACATAGTAGTACTAAAAAAAGTATATTAAAAAAAGCCCTTAATAAATAAATGTCATTAAACATCTTGTATAAAAATTTACACTTATGAATATGAACCATAGACTTAATATATGAACAGCTCAAGTTCAAGTATACCAAACCAACGTAATCACCATTATTCGCCTGATTACCAGAATAGCGGACGTTCATTACAGTTTTTCATCACAAGAAGAGAGCAATCTATCGTACCACATAACGGTCTGTGTTCCGTTGGATGCCCGCCCACTGGAGCCGGAGCAGTGTCGAAATAGACTGCGATTATTTTAACCCACTTATTTCATGAGGATTACGTGCAAAAGATCGGGTGTGGTACAAGTACAGGCGGAGAACGGGATATTCGCGAAGTCATGAAACTGTTAATTAAAATTTTATAATACTAAAATAAAAAAAAAGTAAGTTCTAAATTTACGTGTATTTTTTTAAATCAATCCGCAATATATCGCATAACATATATAATATTATTTAATATACTCTGGGTATATTTTAATATTGGTTTTTCATTCGATATGATACGCCCTTGTTAGTCCTATATAAATAATAATTATTACAGAAATTAACAAAAAAAAAAATATATAAATAATGTAAACTATTCTAATTATTTAAAACTTCACAACAGATATTTATAGGACATAGATAGCCACTAAAAATTACTTTAAAAATTAATAGGTTCTACACAAGCGAAACGCGGGAATGACTAGTGTTTACTATATAAAACTGATATATTACTCACGGACTAATCACAAAATTTCGGTAACTATAATCCTTTTTAATTTTTACATGAAATATCTGTTAGGTATGTTTTTTTTTTTTATATTTTCAAATAAATAGAAATACGGATTGTAAGTAATTACAGTGTTTTCTTCTTGTGTGTCAGTTATACTATCAAGAATATAGTAATACTAAAAAGATGAAAGATTTCATTTTTTACATATCTGTTTGTTTGTAATGTATAAACTAAAAAACTATTCAACTTCTTTGAAAAATCCTTTACCTATAAAAAGCTACATTATGAGCGATTACTAATTTTCAAAAAAAATTGTATACGAAATGTACCATAATGTAGATAACCAAATCAAAATTTGGCTATTAAAACTAATATAAAATATTAATTTATCTTTCTATCTATCTCCCGCGTACAGCCGGGGCGGAACCCTAGTATTTTATAATAGTTGTACATTATAAAAATATTTAACACAAAAATCATTTCGTAACAACGAACAAAAAGGAACACTTCGACGTAAACATAAATAATGGTTTTTATAGCATTATTTTTTATTTATTATATTATTATTAGATATAATAAAACAAATAAATTATTGATTATTATAGTGACATATCTCCCACTAATATAATAAATGTGAAAGTTTTGACATTGAGCTGTTTCTTTCTCAGTCACGCTTGTAAATCAGAATGGAATTAAATGAAGTTAAGTATACAGAAAGGATAATTTATACACCAATTTATTCAATACAGTCAATAAGTAAATATTACAAAAATAATACAGTTAACATCCGTAACAAATAATCAATTACGAGTTAACTACATTTTACAATGTTTAGAACGCGGAAGCACGGTTAGAGATCGCTATCACCGCTAACTTGATGCATATCTAAGATATCTACAAATCGAATTACAAACCATTCAATTTAAATTGGACAAAGCTTGCTTATAAACAACTTTAGTTAATAATACATAATGTGTATCTACATGTATATATTTAGAGGGATTATTCTGTTAGATAATGTAATAAAATTAAATTATAACCCTTACCATTTATAACCTGTAAAGTGACTTTGTTCGTATTATTCTCACGGCCGATCTGTTCTGATTTTTGTGAAATTTTAAAAAATGAACATATTCGGTAATAACCAATTAACACCCAACTGCTAGAAAGGGATCTGCTCCCATAATAACCTTCAAGAAAAGAGCACAATCTTTTTTAAAAGGCCCGCAGCAGACCTGCAATTTCTCCGATATTGCGGGTGCTCATGGACGACGTTAGTCACTTACCATTAAGTGAACCGCATGCTTGTCGTTATGAAAAAAATAAGAAGATATTAGCCGACTATTAAGTGACTTAGTATGTAGGTAGCTATGTTACGATTATTCTTTGTTCAGTATTAAAATGCTATATTCCCTTGGACGACGGAAATATTTTGGAAATAAAAAGAAGTGCTGTCAGGCTATAGTCTCAATCTATCACCATCCTAATAATCAAAAAGAAAAATTCTCAATTCAAATTCACTTTTTCTTTTGCATAAATGTATTTTTAATATTAAAAAAAAAAACTTTAAAATTAATATGGAGAAGCTGTTACAATTAATGAAGCAAAATCTACTTTTAAATATACACTTCCGCATTCTAAATTCAAATATTTTAAATTTAATTTACGTATGCAAAATTTCGTTATCTATCGGTAGATTTTCGAAGATTACTAATCGTATTAATATTTATTTTGTGTCGATTAAACGCCCAACTTTTTGGGACCAAAGTCTACAATTAAAAAATCCTTTACAATACACGTCACTTTAATAATTATGTTAAGGAACTGACTGAAAATGCTGTTACGTCAACCGTTAGATACTTGTTCGATAGATAGGCCAGATAGCAAAAACGTACCGTAAATTGCAATCTACATTTCCCATACGATTCAATAAGTCGATTGCCGCATGTTAACCGATATGCTAATCTGTTTCTTGTGTTTTAGCATACTAATGTAATGTGCACAGTATATCAATTCTGTACAAATTGATCCTGGACTACTGCATATATTGATATTACCTACGCACTTTACACAATTCTACACTCTTCAGATTTGAAATTAATTTAATCAGTAAATACGAGTATAACATCGTTATACTAAACGTAGATAAATTATGTTGAAATTTTGTCGAATCGATAAATAATGCAAAATATATTCGAGACTGTCTATAAAATGCAAATTGACTAAGAAATTAAATATATGATAGAATTATGTTGATCTCCTGGCCTAATTTATATGTAAATATCTTTCTTATGTCTTTATTTATTATGCCAACAAAATGTAGGTATATACTTTGCATATATGTAGATAAGAAAGAAAATGAGTCTAATAATCAATGAAGTGTAATTATTATTTATACATTGTCCCTAAGTTTTTCAAATTAAGATTGGGATCTTTTAAAAATAATGTTACTACTTAGCCTACTTCATACAGTTTATTTTTTAATAAGTTTATAGCCCCTCAACTTCGCCCTGTGAAGAACATAGAAATAAAAAAAAACACTTCCCATTAAAGTTCCCTCGTAATATTTTATTATCACTTTAGTCACACAGATAAAACCGAGAGCATTCGCTAGTCGTATTAATCTTCTCATACGACACAGAAGGCTGTTATTTTTAGGAAGCCAGATAAGAACATGATGTGACATTTAAATTTAACTATAAAATTAACTTACTACTGATGAAAATAGCGTGATTGTACACACGATGTGATGGTCGTTGTTTGTTGAATAAGTTTGACATTTCATCGTTGGCATTTAACAATGTAAATATTGAGGTCAACATACTATAATTATAACCTTTTGATCTTACGGAAATTAGATCGAGATGCACAGAATATAATATATATGACATAATATTTCATAATTAAATAGGATAAATTAGCGAGTAATTCATGCAATATATTAAATTCTTGTTCATTTAGCTGTTTCTTGTTTAAATATACTTTTTTTTTTTTTATATAGAGTCCTTAATATTTTTTGTTTACCAATAATATTTAGTTAACTACTGATGTGTCAACATTTAGTGCCTGATTCGAAAAGATTTTGAGTTTTATAGAAGATAGTTTAATTTAATTATTTATCTTTAAATTATATTATATATTGACTTTAATTTATTTATTCTTTATTGCACAATAAAATTTTGTACAAATGGCGAGCTTAATGCCACATGGCATTCTCTACCAGCTAACCATTGGGTAAAAGGTACATAAACAAAGATATACATGACAGATATAACACCGAAAGGCGTTTTCTACCTGTCAACTAAACAAACAGACATATTTGTTGGAGATATTTTAAAATAAAAGAGACACAAAGAAAAATACATGTACTAATGTAAAACATCGAATGCATCATATCAGCCTTTAACTGTCCACTGCTGAATATAAGCCTCCCCTTTGGAGAGTTGCTGCCAGCAGTGGCTACGCTTGGCCTTGGATTGGCAACCGCAGTTAAGCTTTGGAGATGTTTTAAGAGGAACGCTGCTGTCCATCTCTCGCCCTCCCTTAGTCGTCTCTTACGACACCCACATATAAATAAAATTCATTATGAATAGATTATTATTAGGATTCTGAAACTGACCTAACAGACGTTGTTTTATTTAAATTTATACTCGTATATTTCATTTATATTTCTTTTAATTTTAATTAGAGTTTTACCAATAATATTATTATTTTAACTATTACACTGCTTTATTGTTTTTTTCAAATTGAGAATTTAACACAAAGGAAGGAAACAATACAGTTCAATAGCTAAAATAGTTTTATAACAGGTTTGACATTTTTATGAATTGTATATACCAATAATAATATACTGTAATGACCTTTTAAAAAAGGTCCAAATCTGACCAGTTATTGTTAAACGATACGCTTACCAGCGAACTGTAATTAAATTTATTTATTCATATAAACTACTAAATAATATTTTTTATCTAACTTTTTTTTTATACAACTTAGAATGGTAAATAAGCTGACGGCCCACCTGATGGAAAGTGGTAACCGTCGCCTATAGACATGAGTAGCACCATGGACATAACAGAATATACTGTTTCACCCATGATACCCCCCATGTGTTGCCATTCCTAAGGACTCAGGTGTTATTCCTCTGTACCCAGTAAATTCACGCCATATCCCACCCTTCAAACCGAAATACAGCCATGCAAACACACCTGCTTTACGGTTGCAATACGAATGGGACAGAGGTACCCAAACAATCGACTTTTATACAAATTCTCCTCTGGTAAAAGATGGTATAGATCAGGATATAAAGATACAAGCAATCACATTTTTATATGTACTAAAAATGGCTCTTATACAAAATAAATACTAAATTCTTAGCAAGTTATTAAGCAAATTATGCAAAGGTACTGCATAACAACAGTGACCATTAATTACCTAGTTATTGTAAAAACAAAACACTATGCAAGAACTCGGAGATTAGCGCTGCAGTTAAAAAGTTAACATCAGACAGTGTCGTCGCGTATCTGAGTAATCTCGGTTTTTGTTCCCAAAGATTGAATAATAGTTAAGTTGCAAAAGAACTCTTTGTTCCTCTGTTCACCTACATTTTTGTGTTAATGACTCCTAAGCTAGAGACGTTCGAAGGTGACAGTGGCGAAATGAATGATTTACCTACTTGCTAGAATATTTTTTGAAACGTAAATTGCGTTATTGTTGAATAATCTCAAGTAATTTCATCAGAGTAGTTTCACCCTTATCTATTTAATCAGTATACATACACGTACTACTATACAAATGCCTACTTTTTTAATAGATGATAATAGAATTCAAAGAATAAACCAGGGGAACTGCATAGAGATTGATCTGATAAAGTATATAGGACCGCTAGTCCCCATTATCCGCACCATTGGATTGATGGTCTGCCGATTGGTCTCTGCCTCTCTCTTGGTTATAACTCCAATGCGGCTTTTGGCCATTATCCATATTCGTTGCTAACCAAGAGTCCCGTCCATACCTACTTTTATTGCGTAATTCGCTCACCAACATCTTCGCACTTTATTCTACGATATAATTCGATATATATTTATTTTTATATAATACAGGGGGTGAACGAGCATACGGCTCACCTGATGGTAAGTGACCACTGCAGCCCCAGAAACATCGCAGATGTGGTGCCGGCCTTTTAAAAAGGTATATGCTTTTTCCTTGAAGATTATGATTTCGTATCGGTTCGGAAATACTGCATATTTTCTTATATGACTTTTATATAGCTAATGTTTTACCTATTTTCACTTCGTTTCGCCATATATTATTCGACTAGCCAGGAAGTAAAATTCTCTCCCGGAGTCAACGTCACCTGATTTATTTAACATGGAGTCTATCAAGGTTGCTAGAGTGAATAAGCATTATTTGAGCTCGAGTATAACACCTTTGACCTCATCGTCAGGCAGTCAGCTGACATAACGCTCAAAGGTGCTCAAATTTACTATTAAAACGTCCTTTTTTGATAATGTTAAATATTTTTTCTTTTTTTTTTATTATAACAATTAATATATTATATAAATATCATTTTAGTTTTTTTTTATTTTAATAATATTGATACTTATTTAGTCCTTAATCATGGTGTCGCACTTTAGCGTTTAAATGTAGCATTGTTATAATATAAATACCGTGGAGAGAAATATTAGAAAATAAACTGTACCGTTTTTATATTTGTATTTCTTTTTTGGTTCATTACACAGACATATTAATAAATCAAACACCATTTAACCACCTATGCTGAATAAAATCAAGCGGATCAATCCATAATAATATTAAAAAAATATTAACTGTCTGACAAGAACTTTTTTTGGGTGCAATTTTCGAGTAAAATAATATCCGCATCTCTACACTTCATAAAAAAAATGTCAAACTATATTCTAAGTAAAGAAATTTAAAACACAACTAACAAAAAGATTTTCCAAGAAGTCCCAATATATTTACTATGTTTAATAAAATAAATAAATAAATTACAGGCCATTGGAAAATGTAGAGAAACTATATATTATTACATGCAATAAAAACAAAAACAAACAACGACAAAATTATCAAACCTGTAAATTCTATTATTGGCCTAGTAATTTCTATTTTTACTTAGACTTGCATGTAGTAAAATTTTAATATTTATGTATTTGTTTCTAATTATTATTCTAAAAAATCTATCATAACACTATTTAAATGCCACCAACAATGAACTCTTATAAATACTTAAATAAGTATTGAGAGAGTTTAAACCAAAAACAAAAAATAATTTACATATTTCGAATTTCGAACACAAAAAAGAAATTACCGCGAACGTGAACACGTAAGTTTATGATACGTTTATTGTCGCACGATTTGTGCGGTATCCACACCGAACCGATACCAACTGAGGCTTACGAGCTTTGGTTATCGCAGCATCGCATCGTAATACAGACAGGGGCTTATTGCATGTTTGCATAGCGACTTCTCTTGTCTGAAATTTAAACAGAAAAAATATATACTGTGCCATCTATGGGTTAATGAAGAGTTTTTTTTTAAATATCCATTTGTCAAAAATAAATATCATTTATACCTGTTTTTTTTTTAATTTCGAAAACAATTTTAATTCTTCTATATTTTTATATGCACTTATGTTACGTGATATCTTCGGAAATTCTAAATTTATTTTGAACATTCTCTTAGCAGTCGATACTTTTTTACATTTGTTTTTTTTTTTTATATATTCTGTTATCCGCGAGTTTTGTACTCACAATCTATATACAGGTATAATGTATGTAATTATTTAGTAGCTTATTATCTCTAACTAGCTGACTTATTAGTCATAATGTTCCTATAGAATTTTTACGTCATTCATCAGCATGGGCACATCTTACCCACTTGAATTAATGCACTCATACAGCTGTAGTTACGAAGCTGTATTTTAAAGTTTCGAGCTTGTATTTAAAGGACAACATGCACCGAAAGATGATCGCAGGTACCATTCTTAATCTATAGTAGATTGAAATATTGTAATAAAACAAAGAGTACATTTGAATAAAACCCTAATCCTAAAAAATAAACATTTATGAAAGTAATAACAGGCATGATACCTCAGTAACACAGTCATATGGCTGTGCGCAGCATATACTAACGTAGTGATTGGAGGGAAAGGGATTATTAGTAATGTGGACTGCCTGTCCTATCTCTAACAATATACCTGTGATATCAGGTCGCTGTGGTCCCCCCAGGAAACAATTATGCTGTATTCCAAGAGTATTCATCGCGATGAGCTAACTGACCTGTCTGGGGGGAAAGGGATTGTTAGTAATACTGGCAATACACTCTATCAGGTCGACCTCCACGCGGTCTCTCCTGGATACCATCGTGGTTAATTCTAGTGGAATTTGTCACGATGGGCTAACTGACCTGCTTTCATCCTCACCTATCATCCCTCACTGGTGCCCCGCCATCAAATATCGTTAGCACAAGCGGGGATCATTCCATTATTATTAATTAAAAAAAAAACGGAGTGTTTACTTGCTCTGTGAATATGTATGTGTATGTTATATATATGTGTGCGTAAAATGTACAGTAATGTCTGTGGTGCTGTTATTTTTTTTTTGCTATTCCAAGCTACATAAAAACATTGTTATTTAAATAATTTATTTTATTTAAAGAAAGTTTTTTTATGTTTCTAATTTGATACGTAATAAAACGTACAGTTCTTCGTGCTAAATGACATAAACGAATGTCTACTATTCGCTTTATTGATTCTGTCTATTAGCGGGTTTGGAACCAAACGTTTTTATTGCAAGCGCTTTTAACGTATTTACTCAAAACCAATGCCCATGACTCTGCAAAAGGGCATAAGTATATATTAAAATGAAACTTATATTACACCGGTATTTAAACCACTTATAAATACGTACACGAAGATTTTAAGAGAATTTTACCTCTGTATTTATCTAATTATGCACATCCTTCCCTCTGAGTTGAACAAGGTTTTTGTTATAAAATAACTTTTTCCAATTAGTACTTATAGCTGTTAGCTGGTAGACAATATCATACCGCCTTTAGCTCGCTGTTTGTACGAATTTTATTGTGCAGTAAAAATAAATTGATTAATTAAATAAATGTCACTGTATTCCGTAATATACACGATGTTATTCATATCTAAAAGCGATAGTTACCAATTTTAATCTCGGAAGTTGTCAGCTTGTTTATTAATTTGCATATCATCATCATGATATCAGCCTTTAACTGTCCACTGCTGAACATAAACCTTCCCCTTGGAGGGTTTTGCCAGTAGTTTCTACGTTTGGCAAGCGGATTTGGCAACCACAATTAGGCTTTGGAGATGTTTTAAGAGGGGCGCTGCTACACTCTACCATTGAATTCCTTTAATCGTCTCTTACGACATCTACGGGTAAGGAAGGGTCTTTTCTATACCAAAACTCATAAATTGGAATATTTGTATTGCATAGCTATCGAACCCTTAACTATCAGGAAGTGACGTAATTTGTTCAACGGCTACATCAAAGACCTCGTCTGCCTGTATAATAGACAGCCCAGTTGTTTTTGTTTTGTAATGCCAACTAGCACATATAATGAGAACATTGTTGATTTGTTTGCAATTATTTCACGCATAATTACACCCAACGGATGCACGAGTGCACTCGAAATTCTAAACATTCCTAGAATTTTAGTTTTTACTCCTCAAAAACGGTATTTCAAAACCTCTCGACTTTTATTATCCTTACACAATCTAGCTAATTGCGATGCATCTACCATGTTACAGAAATAATTTAAGATTGCTTTCCACAAAAAAAAATCGGCTTCAATTATAGCAAAACCAGTTGTTTTGATTTAAAAACTAGATTACTGAACTGATTTTGATAAAATCTGTTAGTATATTCGGACAAAAAGAATTTTTTCAAATCGATTTATATATGATGGAGTTACGAGGTAATAATCATAAAACATTACAACTTAATTAATATACTTTTTTCTTTATGGATTCAGTTGAAAATAAACTTACTAGCAAGTGAGCAAATATTGTTTTACTCCTTATCACCGCCTATCGAATTCATTTTTACTTACGAACTAAAAACTATGTACTAATCTCTAAAGTATATTAGTATAGTTTAAAGATTATTTTAACTACTCAACTGGTTACTCACCTATGATCTTCGTAGATAAAAGTTTTTCAAGATAGAATTCTCCAATCTCTCAAATTGAAGCGAACGATACACATTTACAAAATGTTATTATAATTGGTTGAGTGGTTTTGGAGATTAGCGTGAACGAACTTGAACGAATTTTATTTAATTGTTAAAATAACTTTTGTAAGAACTTAATCTGTAACTGCTAATGGTGGTAAATGCCACTATCAATCAACAGACTACATCTCTATGTACGATATTACCCATAAAGAATGCATGACTATGTTCAAATAGACAAAGTCTTCGAAAGAACCAAATGACGAAAAATGAAATGAAATAAAATCACTTTCTTTATTATAATTTTATTAAGGAAGTAAGGTTGAGGAAAGGATTCGTAACGGAATACGACGAAAAATAAAACCTATTAGCCGTTTGAATGGCCTCAGCGTTTCTAAATGTTGATATATTCATATTAAAGTTAGGCAACGTTTGCAATTTATTTTCTAAAACCTTCTCTCGCCATGTGTCAAAGTCGTTCATCAATATGATTTATTTTATCCGTGATACAAATAGACCTATGTCAATGCAATTCTTAAATCGAGTAATATGAATAGTCTTTGCACTGTATATTACGGTTTTATTATATAATACAAGCATGTATCGTATATGTACAAGTTAAATAATCTACAAAAAAAGCGTTTAAAAGGAGTTTAAAAGAGAGACGTCAGCATCGAATAAAAAATCTAGGTTTCATATTAATTAATACTTTGCCCATGTAAAGTATGCTCAGGCAAAAATTATTCTATCTAATATATAAAATTCTCGTGTCGCGGTGTTTGTTAACAAACTCCTCCGAAACGGCTTAACCGATTTTTATGAAATTTTGGGTGTATATCTGGTAGATCTAAGAATCAGCCAACATCTATTTTTCATACCCCACAGTCAGAAGGGTGACCCACCCCTAAATATTTTTTTTTGTTTTTTTAACAAATTTTCTTATTTTTATTTTATTATGATTTAGCATTGAAAAATACATACAAATTAAAATTTTCACGCTTTTACGATTAACCTCTGTTTTTTAATCACGATTTTCATATACCGCAATAGGGTTGCAAGATGGTAATCGAATATAATAATTGTGGTACAAGAAATTTTCATGTATAGTTCTCGAAATAATGTATATGGTAAAACAACGTTTGCCGAGTCAACTAATGTATTAATAATAAATATAGGTGAGGTTTATTTGGTAATTATATACAAAAACTCAGTCATTTAATTCTCTACTATATCTATGTAGTATAATAATATCCAGTCCGCTCAGGCAGCTTATTTTAAATTACTCTTCCCTTGTACTACTCTATTATGATTTATTCCCTTAATCGCCTTTTTCGTACTACTTACATCCTGGGAATAAATAAACTGATGACATATCTCTTTCTTCATTACTACACGGAGAAAATATCTTTTTTTTAGGGTGAAAATGGTATGGTAACCCCGCCTGCGCTAACGGGATACGCTAGCGGAGCACCAGTGAAGGGTGATAAATGAGAATGAAAACAGACCAGTTAGCCCATCATGATGAATTCGTCAGGAATTAACCATAGATAGTTTCCAGGGAGAACCGCGAGGAGGTCGACCTGGTTGGGTATATTGCCAGCAATGGGATTCTCAGTCTCCATTACTAACAATCTCTTTCCCCCCGAGACAATATCATTGTCATCATAGAATACAGTGTAGCTCATGATACTTCCCATGCGTTGCCACTTCTGAGGACTAAGGTTTTCCTTTACCCAACACTTTTAAAGCCATATTTCATTCTTCGATCAATCGAAAACCAAAGATTATACTTTACTACGATAATCATACTAATATTTTTAAATCAGCCGTTAACTGTCCACTGCTGAACATAGGCCTCCCTCGTAAGGGGGGTTTTGCCAGTAGTTGGCACACTTAGCAAGCGAATTGACAACCACAGTTAGACTTTGGTGATGTTTTAAAAGGAACGCTGCTGTCCATCCTTCTACAATTAAATTCTCTTAGTCTTTTTTTTTATACAACTTAGAATGGCAAACAAGCTGACGGCCCACCTGATGGAAAGTGGTAACCATCACCTAGAGTATACTGTTTCGCCCATGATACCCCCCCATGCGTTGCCATTCCTAAGGACTCAGTTGTTATTCTTCTGTACCCGGTAAATTCACGCCATATCCCACCCTTCAAATCGAAACACAG